TCTCTTTCTCTCTCTCTCTCTCTCTCTCTCTCTCTGTAGGTGGTTGGCGGGTGCTCTTGTATGGTTTGCTTATTCTTTCCTATCAAACATCTATTGTCTTTATCTCCCCTCCTTCTTTTTTGTGTTTGTTACTCTCTTTAACACCTCTAATCTTCTATACTTATATGACCTTATTGTGTTGCAAGTGCGGTAAAACACTTACTAAAACACAATCTCTCTCTATCTTTACCTCCCTCCCTTTTTCTTACGCTGTCTATGCACTTAATGTCGGTTATTATGTCGATTTGCATCTCTTTTCTCAAGTTACCATGTTCTCAAAACAGTACTTTATATCTGTGAAGTCGTGGTGGAGGACTGATGTCTCATTTGACATAATTTAAAAGATGTGCATTGACTAAATCTCTATTCTTTCTCGTGCCAGGTGTTTACTCAACAAGAAGGCGGAGAAAGTGATGAAGCTCATCAGGGACGTCTTCTGCCTCATTCTCAAATTCCGCTCTCAGCTGGTCAGTGGGTCCTGGACCCAGGTGGAGGGGACAGGCCAGTTCTCTCACTCCAACTTCGCCAGCATGTCGACCACGTACAAGTCCTTCCACATGTACAGCTTCTTCCTCTTCAAAGGTGTGATCTTTATATCCATGCGTTATATTGAAATGTGTGTTTGATGTGTCTAGATGCAGGTGTGGGTGGTTGGCGGGTGTTCTGGTGTGGTTTGCTCCTCATTTCCAGTTTAAATATCTATATTGTCCTTATCTCTCCTCCTTATTTTTTGCGTTTGTTACTCTCTAGGATTACCGCTAATCTTTTGCATTTATATGACTTTATTGTGTTGGAAGTGCCTGAAACTCTTACTAAAACTAAATTGTTTCATAACGTCAAGATGTTGTGTCATGATATTGCTCATAGTAGGTTGGATGATGGGGTTATCTTGATGTGTCTAAAGTACATTATGAGGGCAGTTTGTGCTCACTGTAGACACATATATGGTAATAAATCTGCATACAGGCAGACACTGGGCATAAGGGCTACATCCAAAGAGTTACAAAAAAACCATTTGTATTTAAGTGACAAATTAAGAGCATCTCAAAAGATTAAACATTTCGTCCCATGTCCCCAGTGGTGCACCGACTGTCACAGAAGGGCTATCAACCTCATCTACAGGAGCTTCTGCTGCAGCTTAACTTCAATGACTACTACACTGAGGCCTCCAACTAGGGCATTGCTGGGCCAGATTTTAGTCGTCTTGGACAACTTGGGCTGCTACAACATAGTCTCTAACAATTTAAATGGCAACAGATGAGTCTCTCTGATAGTTTGGCTGGCTACAACTTGGTCTATGTCAGTTTTTGTGACTACAACAGGAGTTTTTGACAGGTTAAGTGGCTACACCTGACTCACAGACAGTTTAAGTAGCTATGACTGAGTCTCTGCTGACAGGTGGCTACATCTCATGATTCATGATAGTTGAAGCTGACTTTGATGACTTTGCTTGTTCTTGCCTCTGTGTGGAGTGTTATAAGGAGTCGTCAAGTTCTTGTCTCATATTTGCGTTTGTTGTCTAATTGTCATGATTTATGAATTAAAAAAAGAAAAACTGCGCAAAACTGTTTATTTTTCAAAGCTACAAAGGTATGTTGATTTGTCAGAAAGGAGAATACTGACTCTTGAGTTATTAGTTCTCTATCTGTGCTTTGTTTCTTTCTGCACTCCTTAAGTCTGAGTTGCTGTACCCATTGTTGATGTTTCCTCTCCTCGGTTGTTAGGGGGGTGGTTGGGAGGTTGGTTTGTTTTTTGCTCCTTCTTTCCTATCAAATGTCTATGATCCTTTTTTCTTCACCATCTTTTCTTTGTCTGTTACTCTCTAGTTCATACCTCTAATCTTTGGCACTCATATGACCTGTTTGTGTTGCAAGCCCTGTGAAACTTTAAATAAAACTAGAAAAATCACCTATACGTCTGCTCTACTCCTTGGACAGTCCTCAGTATTGTCTGAAGGTGTTCCTTGGTGTCTTTATTTTGGTGCTTCTGGTTACTCATGGTACCCGTACATTTAGAGCTCTTTTCTAAACATGTCTGTTGGGAGATTTCACTGACCCACATTTAGCACTTTTCAAGGACCGCCAAGCTAGTATTGAATTCCTGCGTGCTGTCAGCATCGCTGACTACTTATGATGCCACAGTGCCAGGAGAGAGAGAGAGAGACAGCTGTTGAGATTTGATTTTATCCTTCCCTGCTTCTGTTACTTGGCAGTATAGAGCTCCTGGGTTCAAGTCCTACCTTCATTTGTTTGTGACTAAATTCTGAACTGTAAGGATTGTTAGATTATGAATATTGTCAGAACTGTTTTGATTGTCAGGATTGTGAAGATTGTGAAGATTGTTTTCCTGATGGTTCTTTTTAGTCTGGTATACGCCAAGTTGGAGGAGAAGGCAGCAAGTATCGCATATCTTTCTTTGGCTTTGTCATGTTTTTCTTAATTTTTTTTCATTGTTTTCATAAATTATCAATTGTGGTCTGTGTACTAATCTGTAGGTGACATTGAGAACAGACTCGAGAACAGATCGATGCCAACTGATTTGTTAACGTACTCTTATAGTGCCTTATATAGGGAGCCAAATGCATCAAATAATCTATGACCTGACATATGTGTAGCTTGAACTGTGATATAATGTATAAATTTGGAAATAAATGAAACAAATATGACTGTAATTGTTTCTTGTGTGTGTTTGTTTGTTTTCATGTGTCAACTGCGTCATCTGAAGACACAGACCTGGATACTGGATGTGGATTATGTATGTGAAGGGCGTCATGTTATGACTTTCTCCTTTCTCTTCCTTTTTTTTCCAAACACTTTTCTCTCTTTCTCTCTCTCTCTCTCTCTCTCTCTCTCTCTCTCTCT